GCATATGAAAATGCTACCTTAGTTTCATGTTTAAATTTAGATGAAGAAAAAATTAAACGAGCATATGCAATATTTGAATAATGTATTTCATAATGACCACAGTAAAAGTCTAAGGAATGAAGCTTAATCCTATGCAACTCTGAAATGGGATGAGATGGTCGTTATATCGATATCGTAATTTGAAGGTTCCAATTTCGATAGCCAGTGAAGATGTCATGAGATGTTTCACGAATCTTTGATTCAAACTCCTCTCGATCGTAAAGGGCTTCTGAACTAAGGAACTGAATGAAACGTTTTCATAAGACTTGAATTTCTTGATTTAAAAAAGGTCTGCATTTCATCAGTTGCTTTTAGATGACGAAAATGTAAAAAACAAGTTAATTCTTGACATGAGGTTTCTTGGTATAGCAGCAAGTAATTGGGATTGACTGTAAATTACTAAGATATTTTCCCATGCTAAAATTAATCCGATAATTTTAAAATATCTGGTTATACTCCGAAGAAGACTATGATAATTTTCTACAAATCCTTGTTTCTTATTCACGTTTGCACAGAGGAATCAAGTTCCTCTTTTTCCCCTTTTTAAAAGAATTCTTTAAGAAAATCTGGTTGCTGATGGATTTATATTATATCATTATATAGCTTTTAACTTTTGGTTATCATTATAAGAGACACGGGGCTTCCATATTTGGAATTTGTTTTAAAAATTAAATCGCTATCCCTCTCTCTCTCTCTTTCGGATTACCTTTCAAAAACTTTTCTTTTAAAAGAACATTAAAAGAAGCAAGACAAGGCAGAAACTGCATTACATAAGCATAGTACCATGGTTCATGGTTTCAAGGATTTAGTGAGAAATAATTCTTATTTTTAATTAAATCTTATTAAAATTCTGTGAAAATGTATTTAAAATTTATTGACAAAAATTTATTTATCGACAAAAATTTAATTCATAAAAATTAATTGAAAATTCGTGATGATGCAAGTTCATTATAAAAATGCTAAAAGTTTCTGATTACATTTATTAAAATGCATTAAAATGTGAAAAATATTTCAGTGTTTAAACTCTACAAAATTATTAATTCTTTAGATTTGAATTTCAATATTTACATGGAAATATGCTCAATATACTTAATTCTAAAATAAAGAATTTGAATAAAATGTAAGAATTTTTGAACTAACAATAACCATCCTGGGTTTTTACTATATAAAAAGGAACTTGGGTAAGAAGCTCGTTTTGCAGAAAATAAGCTCTAGAATGAATTCTCCAATGCTCAGTTGTTCATTGTTCAGTCTCCAATGTTAAGTGGTCTTCATGTCTTGATCGATAAAGCAAATTCTTCTAGACATCAAATTATTGAAACTAACCTATGTTTAATGAGCTGCAATTTTAGATGTTGCTGTAACATCCATTATGAAATTTTATGGTAGCTGCAATAGAATCTTATGTATTTAAAGAAAGAAGAGAAGCATGAGAAAAGAATCGCAAAATATTTCCTTAGCACTTATAGTTGTTAGGGTCTAAGAGCAGTGGGTAATTTCTAATGTGGCCAAAGATCCTAATTTAACTCTTATTCGCTTGAACACAGAAATTCGGTAAGAAGATAACTAATGACAATTCCATCCGTTTCGACATTCTTCTTACTTGGAATCTTCAGATCCACATTTTTATTAGATAGTTGTCGTTAATTATTTGTTTTAAACAAATCAGTAAGAATAATATATAATCTATTATTTTCTGAATTCATCTCCAATTTCTCTCTGTGTAATATTATTAAAAGCATTTAACTTTAATATGCTGTAACATAAACATAGAGATAAAATAATATAAAGAAGCCTTTTTAAAGCCGATATCCATCACAGAGAGTTCTATAATCATACATTGGCTGGTGATATTTACGCTTCATTTAAATTTCTCAAAAAGGCATTTTAATAAAAGTAATTAGGAAGTTCTTTTGTACCTCCTACATGCTTATATTTTGTAGTTTGTATTAAGCAAAACTTCAAGATGCCGGATATGACTTAATACGTTACAAAAGATTACTGTATTTGAAGTAATTGTGAGTGGCTGTTTCGTTTGATTCAACACCTAAGAGTAAAAGTATCAGTTTCGTTAAATTAGTTTAATAGTTAAAAATTTTCAAAGAGATGTAAGTACATGAAGTGTATGAAAAACTATTTAAATAGCGTGTTTCAATGTGCGTACAAATCCCACTCTTAAAAAATCTGTTTGAGGATAAGAAAATAGAAATGACATTCATTTACATATTTTTTATCACAAATGAAAGAACAAACCTTTTAGTGGTGTTACTATTGTTCACTAATCTAACTAAATATAATTGCTTTTAGAAAATAGCATGTTAACGTTAAATGTCACCCAGTGTCCATTAAAAGGAGATCCAAGGATATTTTTAAACTCTGCTCAGAAAACTTTAAAGTGATAGGTTTAAAGTATCGCCTATCATTAATGTAAAATGAAAAATTAATTAGTCATTAAGGTAAAATAAAAGGTGATACATTTACTTTTCCATTTAGGATATTGTAATAACAATAAATAATAATCCAGATTACAGAACCGAAAGCATAAATTTATTATTTTCATTGCTAAGAAATGTTTGCTATGTCAACGACGACAGATTTAATAAGAAATACGCGAAGAAGGCACTAAAACTGCAATTATATTTTTATGTGAATCAAGTGGTTTAAATTTTATATCTATGAATAATTTTCGAATTACATCATTATCGAATTCTGTAAGTCTTGATAAAGCACAAGAAAATTATTTATCTTGAAAATGTACTTAGGTAGACCAAAAATACCAAGTAACGCACTAAGCATCACTTTCGAATGCATTCAAAAATAAAATATATTACGAAAAGATGTCTTGATAAATATATTAACTAAGATATATTACGAAACAATCGGATAATAAACTGTATAGAAGCGTTTTTTAATTTCTTAAAAATGTAAGGAAATATATCAAATGGCAAGATAACTAATAACAGTTCTATCCGTCCCCGTTCTCTTTGTAATTAGAATATATGCACATCAATTATATAAGTTTTGGTTGCAAATTCTAAAGAATGGTTTGTCGAAGCAGAGCATCTTTTCATGTACAACTTCGAAAGTAGATTTAAAGAATATATCATCGAAAAACATATAGATTCGCCTATATTTAAAATGAAAAAGAATGACATTTGGCATGCGTTTTAGTTGGCTGCATTCTGCTGCAAATAATTTGGTTGCATTTTGCTTAGATAATCTGAAATCAGCTATTTATTCTTGTCATCGACGAAATATTCGATAAGAAGTCTACCTAATAAAAATTTCGACAAAAGAATTACAAATATTTCACTTAATTTGCTGCAGTAACTACAATTCTAGTATGCGAAGCTGCTGCGAAAATTTTGCGACTTCTCTTTAAGATTTCACAGTCTCATAAAAATTGCAAAATGTCGGAATTTCTTGGGATTATGTTTCCTTCATTTGCGTGAGAAAGAATCTCAGTTTATTGCGTTTTTAAAAGTTACTTGCTTTAGTCAGAAGAAATGATTTCCGAAGACAGAAAATAAGCATACAGAGGAATATGAAAATTCTAAATTTAAATTTCTATTTTCACAAATAAACAAGATGGCTTAGAAATTATTCCCAAGCATTACTAAAAAGCATTTCAAAAATCTCCAGCATTACTAAAGGTTTCTTGAGCCACGAAAGGCATAAAAAAAAAAAAAAAAAAAAAAAAAAAAAAAAAAAAAAAAAGGGCATGACTGAAGTAGAATCCATGTTGTATAGGGAATTTCTATCAAAAGCTTGTACGATTGCATTCCAGGCATGCTTAATTACAATTAGTTGCTAATCTAAACCTGTGTTCGACTAAAGTTTTAAAATTGCTTTGTCTAGTTAAATTAATATTCGTTATTTTATCGAGATATTTTCTATCATTTGTCATTTTTGTAACAGCCATTTTAAATTGCGGTAATTCATACGTGAAATTTAATATAATATATGAGCAGAGAATGGAAGTTTGCGTGAACCACATCCAATCTTCGAAATGTCAGTACTGAAGGTCTCCGTTTTGGTCTTGCTTTGAGTAAATATCTAACGGATTTTCAAATGAATGGTAGCATGAGTAAGTGTGTACCTAGAGCTGATAGTAATAATTTAAGAAACTAGATATGGTATGTTTACTAACACTCCTTATTGAACTCTTTTCATATATTGCACAGAAAGTATTTGCAAGAAAGTTTTCATATCATGTTCGCATATAATATTTGTATAGCAAAATAATTTACAATATGAAATGCTTTGCTAATTTTACACGGCAAAATATTTCAAATATGCCTGAAACGGAATTATTTGAAAGTTTTGAAAGGATTCGATCTTGATTGATTTATTTTACAAGGATTCGATCTTAAGCAAGCTATTTGTCCTTTCCTTTCCTTTCTGAATATTTTAATACTGAATTTGAGAAAAGATATAGAATACTTTTTTGGAGAATTGTAAGATTTATTTTAAGTAACACGTTACTTTTATATTAAATTTTCCTCTATTACTACTATCTTTAGTAAGCTAGACCAGAAATATGAATTAAATGAATTTAAATAGTAAGCGCGATTGTAGTCTGAGAAAGAGAGAGATTTGGAAATTGTAATAGCCATAATAGTTCCTCTGCATTTCTTGCTTCCTAACGGCTACTGGTTTTTGATTACCTTTTCAGCTTTAGCTAGTATTAGAGCTTAGAGATCCTGCTTACGTATCAAAAGCAGAATTTCTAGATATTTGTTTTATATATATTTAATTTGATGAGCTTCCAGACCCGCCAGGAACTGTGATTTAAATGTTTGTACTTTTAAATGCAATATATGAGCTAAAATAAATATTTAAAATTTAATAACTATTTTGTTTGATTTTATTCTTGTTTATTAAATTAGTGCTTTGGAAGTTAAATTGAAATAATGTCGATAAGTAGAATAATTCGTTCATAAATGATGTTGAATACTCACCACATTTGTAGGCTCCTCCCACCCAGTTCCCATTCTCACAGACTATTTTCCACGTTGTTTTCTCTCCGTAGATACCACGGATACAGTTAAACCGGACTTCTGTGTTATGTGCAAACCATCTAGTTTGTCCGCTTTGTTCCGAATCAGTGGGATCTGTCGACACAGAAATGGCAGAAGCACTCAGAGCTTTGTGCGTAGGATAGAGCAGGGTATTCTGTTGCCGTTCGGGAGGCCCACAGGAACGCCATCCGCTTCCTGGAGGCATATCCATTCCGTTACCTCCTGGTCGAATATCTGTCTCTTGAATGCTATCGCTATCTGTAATTCAAAAGAAGGGCAATTACAGCTTAAGAAAAATTTCTATTCAAAAAAATTTCTATAAATTACTGTCTCCATAATCAGAAGTTATTAAAATTTTAAGAAATTTTTAACTACCATTTAGTTAAAATGTTAAAAAGTATTTTTTTTTAAAACGGTATCATTAAATAGAAAACGTGACTTTCATAAAACTATAGAAATAAAACAATAACGTTTTGAAAGAAATCTTTGTTTTACACGAATTCGATCTCAAGAAAGCTTTTAGAATGTCATTTTATTTCTGAATATTTTAATAATGAATTTGAGAAAAGATACAGAATACTTTTTGGAGAAGTGTAAATTTTATTTTAAGTAACACGTTGCTTTTATATTAAATATATCCTGTACTCCTATTATCTTCAGTAAGCTCGACCCGAAATGCGAATTAAATGAATTTAAATAGTCAGCTGAGTGCAATCTGAGACAGATTGAGAGAATTTTGGCAATTGCAATAGGCACGGTAGTTCCTCTGCATTTCTTGCTACCTGTGATATCTACTGGTTTGCGACTACCTTTTCACGTTTAGCTAGTATTAGTGATTAGGGATTGTGCGTACGTTTCAAAAGCTGAATTTCTAGATATTTATTTAGAATTTATTTAATTTATTAAAATTCCAGACCTCGCCAAGAACTGCGATTTAAATGTTTGTATTTTTAAATGTAATCTATGGGATAAAATAAATATTTTAAACAAAACTATTTGATTCCTCTTCAGCGTAGCTTTTCAAGCCTCTTTTTATTGATCCGGAAACGGGCAAGTGTTCCATTACTTTTAAAATCTGTATGGTTTCGTTATTATTTTCATTAAAAAGTCTGATTTTTTAATTTCAGACTATGCTTTGTTTCTTAATGAAATGAAACGCTCTTGGTTCAAAGGCAAAAAATTACTTTTATAGCAATCTATGAAACGAAATTGGGTAGAGGGGTATTAACTACATGGAGAATGAGAGAAAAAAAGAGAGACCTGCTTCTTGGCGCTAAATTTTCATTTAATTTGCATCGCATGTTTATAGTCTCTGAGCACAAGCTTTGAAAGTGCACTCTAATTTTACAATTGATTCAGAATAAAATTATTAAAGTTTCTAACCAATTTAAGTAGACAGGAAAGCCATATGATGAAAGTGAATCTTTACGTTTTATTGTCGATTTCCCAGCTCTTCCACCAAGAAATGAGTGCGCTTGAACCTGGACAATTCAGTCGATAAGGTTACTACATTTCATTATTGAAGAGCGATAACTATGCGTTTTACAATTTATTTGTAAGCAATAGTTAAGTAGGCGCAATGTTACCATAACGCATAGTTTGGAACGTTTTTACGGGAAATTTATTTTTTCGATGGAGGAGGCATAAATATACTGGATCTTTCTTGAATATACTATTTACTATTCAAGAACAGTTTGGTACATTGCAAATCTCAGGAATAAAATGCACAATGATTATTGCTTCCAAGTATTTTTAGCATTTTACGTAGAAAATATATGTACATTAATGAGAGCTATAATATTTTACACTAGTAATCAAAATTCAGATAATTTTCACATTTTTTAGATTATTTCCAGAACTGATTGACGAATTTTAATGAAATTTGATATGGATGCAATTTGATATAATACCAAAAACATACTCCGCAATATTCTTAGAACAGGCACATGACTGTGTGTAAGACTCATCGGTGCAAGAAGATCTAAAACAAATGTTGAAAGATGGAACAAGAAAGAAGGCTAATAGGAGTTCTCTAATAGTCATAGAACTCTCAAACGGGACTTCACACTAGAAATGAGACAACTTATGAGTCTCTGTCGTACTCGGTCCCACTTCTACAGCAACGTTGGTTTCAGGTCTTGGAGGATTCTGAGAGGGGACTGCAAGTTGTAAATATTCTCCCAAAAGCGTTCCAAACATAGAGTTCAGGTTCAGTAACCTGGCTTGCCAATCCATTCAGTTTTTATGTTCACTTTTTGGGAAAATCATCCATCAGATAAGGCAAGAACTCATTAACTGTAATGATCATTGTGGAAGCGAATTAACAGTATTTAAGTTGTATCTATCCATCTCCAGTTGTCTACATGTGGACACTGAAATTGTTACCCGCATTACACCCTTCTTCCATCCCTGAACCACTGACTCGTCCAGCGCTCTTTTTCACCCCCAGCACTTGTTAAAGCATTCGTCTTGCAAGAAACTCACCAGTGTTTTGTGGACTTTTGAAACGAAAAATTTTACTTCCTCATTTGCCAAACATAGGCTTGGGGAGGCTGCAATCCAGAGACGTTCGTCGCAAATTTAGCGGGGCCACTTGGCCGATGTGCTAACTGCCCCAGCGGATCGGCTGCCCCACCGTTGGTAGAAAGAAAGAAAGTTCTTATTTACTGTTTAACTTTAATTTTCAGTGTAGTGACATCATCGTCTTAGTTAATATTATTCAAACAGGTGAAGAGAAAAAAATGGCTAAGAAAAATGAAGGGCGAAAAGAAACATATGTGTGGCGTGGACGTCTTCAGCTGATCAATGATTACGTTTAGAAGTAAAGTTTTCGAAAATGAGAGTAATCAAACACAATCTAAGAGATATATATCACTGAGCCATCAAAAACGTTTAGTTTTTTCCCTGGATTCTATAAGTTAACATAAAAATTAACACATTAAAAAAATATTCGAAACAGATTATAGGACAATGAAAAAAAGTATTGAACTTTGGATAGAACAGAGGTACGCTGGGCAGTCTTTTTAATATAAAATAGTATTCCTTATGTCAGATAATCGGAGCTTTCTAGGTAATTATAAATAAAAATAGAAGGAATTTGCTGCTTGCATATAGATCTTACATGTTATCAGCTAAATTAAGCTGAGTTATTTAAACTCTGGTACTGCTGAATTTCTTTAGTTATTCAGACTTGATAGAATATGGATAGTTACTAGATAGAATGCATTTCTTTGTTTAGTTTCATTTTGTGCAGCATTTTCTAAATAGACTGCACTTCACTTTTTTAAAAATCGTTTTAGAAGTATTCCATAAAAACTCTCTACTGTTGTTTTTGGAAGCAGTTTGGTATATCAAAAATGCTTTTTTGTGAACAAACACATCAAAATAATATCGAGATTACTTTTTAACGATTTCTGTAGAGTGATTTGATAGTAAAAAGTCCAACGATCTTCCAAACGATTGCAGTAATGGCGTCATATTCCCAAGATCTTTAAAAATTTCCCTGAACTTCGGAAGACAAACGATCTCGTTTTGGAAACCAGCTCCAAGTTAGAAATAAATATCGTAGTATAAGAACTGACAACGCAAACGGAAACAGGAGTTGCCATGGCAACGACGCGAGTTAACCGCAATGCATGATGGGAGACGGCAGCTGAAGTCGACCACGCGGAAAATTTGGGACAATGAGCAGAAAGACAGGGATTTTCCTTCAGGTATTTTAAGACTTTTCTCCTTATAGACTATGTTTCTTACAGTAATTGGAAAGTTTAAATCTGCAGATAAGCCTCGGAATGTTTGCCTCCGCTGTGCGTCACGCGTTTAAATATTTTCTCATAGTGTGAGTTTTAACGAGCTAAAAATAGGTTAGAGAAACGAACTACTTCAACACAATTTCTCCTTTTGCGAAATAAAGGAAGACACTTTTACACGCAAATTTCCATATCCAATTACACGCTTTGGGAAGAAATACTTTCCATTTTATGGGTCTGGAGAAGAAAAAGTTTATTTTTAAAGCATGTAATTTAAATGTCACGACAAAGAAAAAGTTTGAAATTACTTTGAAAATTTAAGATAGATGTTACGAGGAATAATTTATATTTTATATGTATAATTAGTTACCCAGGTCAGATGAAAATAAGAACTCTTGAGGAGTACGTAATGAAATAAGAAGCCCTGATGATTTTTACATTGCACTGAAAAGGTTAAAAAAAAATTGAAATCGAAGATTATGGCTCTTGGGCTGGCAAAACCTATTCTAAGTAGTTATTATGCCGCATTGATTACAAACTATTGCACATTAATTTATAATTGGCTGACATAAAAATCTCTTAAAGTTTTAGAAAATATAGTGCTATGGATATTGTTACGTTATTTTCTTCCTCTTGACGTTCTTACGTACGGTTTCGTGCGGATTTGGAGTGAATAGCGACGGCACTACTTGATAAAGTATCGAAAAACACTTTATTGGCCATTATTATTCAAGATAGCTCCAAAATCACGTTTTACAGTCGTTGAAGGACTACTATAGACACGCTGTAACAATCAGCGACACAGCCTTCAGGCTATGTGCAGGCTATGACGGTAAAGACAGCTTAACGGCAAGCACCAGAGTACAGCTCCGGACTCTGCTCGGTCGTTCTCGGAACTCCACGTACTCTCGAGTCTCTCCACGCTACAACTCGCGATGCACTCGACCACACACAAGAGTACAGCTCCCGACTCCTCGATTCAGTCGTTCTCGGAGCTCAACACACTCTCTCGATCATGCACTAACCGCGATACACTAAGAGACTCTTTCGGTGCACTCGACGACCAACTCGACACTCACTGACTGACTATCAACTCTAAGGTCTCCGCACGGACTAACTAACTCGCTACGAGACACTAACTGACTCACTGCATACCAGCAGGGTTTACATAGCTTTTGGCTTGTGTTCGAGAACATTCTGGGCTAAACCAGTAAGAATTCGCCAGTAAGTCGAATATCGCCAAATGGGCGATTTCTCGCCAAATGTGGCAACTTTGCCTTTCATGTATGGCAACCCTAAACCTGCTTTGCGGGGAAGCTATCATACCGCGCTTGGACATTTCGTAACAATATTAATAAACAATAACATGTTTTCAGATATTAAAAAGTCAATTTATATTGAATTAAACATAAGTAAAGTATTTATTACCTAACGATTATAATATCATGAACATTTTTTTTCTGACATTTTGTAACAGATGACTTTATTTTCACTATGTAGCGAATAATG